ATGTGAGAGCCTGAGTATCTTAAAGATATTTGATGGGCAAACTGTCCTTCAGTAGCATCAATGCCTCCAACTATACGCCCAGTGGGATTTGCTGAAATAACACCAACAAAGGCGAAATATAGCAGCGCTACTATAGTAGGTTTAAACATGTTGATATCTGTGAGCGAAACTGACATGAGTAACGTCTTTTATGTGGTTCTTATTGTTTCAGATTGGAGTGATAGAGTGATAAGGGTTTTGCGTTTAGTAATCTAATCTCGCTAAAATGTCAAGTGCCAAAAACTGATTGAATTTCATGTACTGGAATAAGAACATTAAAAAGGAAGAGGGTCTTCCAATGAATGGCGCAAATTTATTACGCCCATTCCGCAATAAGATAACATTGAAACGTGCAGGGTTCTTTATATAAATCAAATACAAGTGATGGTTTTATGATACCTCATTTCCTTAAATGAAGCTCTTTTGGTTGAGGATGGATTTGATAAGTAATAACATACAATACCGGAAATAAATGAAGAAATATTTATTTATTATTTATTTATTAAACTGAAGTCAGCATAGTTCATTATATAAATACAAGATTCATTTGGGTTTTTGTTTTTATTTATTGAGATTTTTATATTTTCTTAAAAGCCTCTGTGATATATTTTCTAATCATTTATATATCCAAATATGTTTTTGAATGTTCATACTAATATAACTCCTAAATAACTACAATCTGTGGCCATCAGACTCTCGCTATTCCTTCCCTTTTCTTTCCGTCTGTTGCTAATATTTATAACTTTTTGATGATTGAGCATTATAAAATCATTTTTATCGATCTTACTGGAAGATATTTCCGTTATCTGCTTTAAGTGCTTTGATCTTCATTGTATCATATTGAATCCCATTGAATAAAATATTTAAAGCCGGGTTATTATTATTGGTGTGTTGAGTAAGTGATTATTCGTGGTAGTTTAAAAATATAATCATCATCAGTAAATGTCGTTTGTCGTACGATATTCAGTCTGTTAAACAGTATGTCCTTACATACAAAAACAGTTTGGATATAAGAGTCAGACTGCTAATGGATTTAGTAAACTTTTTTAGTAAAATACTTCTTATCAAAATAGTCGGTTTTATTTGTTATCATATTGTGAAGTGAAGTATATTTTTTTTCTATATATATATTTTATATATCTCCATAAGACAGATCTATTATATAAACAAGAAATATGATAATAATAACGGCCATTGTGTTGAATGAGGAAAATCTTAAAAAAACAATTGTATTCCGAAATAGGATAAGTGCAGAAAAAATTTTGAACCTTATTCTCCATAAATAAGCTACAAGCGTTACGCTACCCTATCTATTAATGCATACATACTTAGCTATATGACGCATTATAGGTAATCCGTATTACTATATCAAAAAGTAATGTTTTAAGTAATTTTTTATTTAAAATTATATCAATCTTTGTTTAAATATATTAGAAAACAATTTATTATTATATTACTTAAAAATAATTTTTACTAATTCATATATGGAATAAAGTAGACACCGAAAGTATGAGATAATTATGTTAAAATTTAATAATATTTTTTTATTAAAACATTGATATCTTTTTCTACCAATTAAACAAAAGAGATATTTCATTCAGCGTTTACAGAAAATTTTAAATCATATTTTCATGAATCCAGTCGAGATTATAAGAAACTTTATTATAACCATCAGGACGTGAGGTGCCACAGCCTATAACAACAAAACCTGCAACTCCAACCAATTTGCCTTCATAAGTCGCTGGACCGCCAGAGTCACCGTTACATGCACCAGCACCTTTAGGATGGTTCAAGCAGATCAAAGCATCTGAAGAGACCAAAATCATTGTAGCGCATTTAGTTTTACTAATAGCTTCGACTGTATTCCATTGTAACATTATAGGTATATTTGCGGCATTATTTTCTAAAAGACCCCATCCAGAAATGATAACTTCAGAACCAGCCGGCACTTCTTCTTCAGCCAACTCAATAGGTTGTATAGTATCAGAAAATTCCAATTCTTCCTCAAGTTCCAACAAAGCTAAGTCATTGATAAAACTTGCATAGTTCTGATTAACAGTAACACGTTTAACTTGTACGATGATACCACCGGCTAAACGGTTATGTGTACCGGCGCGTATAGTAAAGTTCTTTGCATCGTAACTGAAAAATTGTTAAGATACTTGTAGATTATATGAAAATCTTTATCATATATTGCAGACTTACGGTTGAGTGCCAGTTTCAACAACACAATGAGCTGCAGTTAATATGTATTTACTGCTTATAATGGATCCACCACAGATGTGATAGTGATTCATGCGCAATGAAATTTGATGAGGAAATTGGTCTGGCAACGCATCGTAGCCACCTACAATACGTCCCGAATTGTAGGCCACAACGGTCGCAACTAAAGTGCAGAACACCAGAATGCCAGTTTTAATATTTAACATTCTGCTTCTATTTACTTTTAGCAAATAAACGGAACCGCGGCTGTTCCCCACTTTTTATAGATTCGAGAACTACAAAATTTTGATTTTTTAATTCTTGATTTCAAGTGCTTACTATAGTCTTAAAATATATTATCAACATATAACAATACTCGTGTGTTAGATTTGTTATGAGATATTTATAGCCTCGGATTTAAACACTACATATTTTTTTTGTACTTTTAATATATAAACATTTATATTAAATAATATTTTAACAATAAAATTTACTACGGCTTTTGTATACGTTATTCTCAGTTATAAATAATTCTTTTATTTAAAATTATCTAATCTTTATTATTTGTTGTTTTGTTTTCCTTTTTTGTTAAATTGATTAACTATCTAATATAAATCTATAATATAATAAATATAATCTACATTTCTAATGTACGACATTTAATTACTTCCTCTTCACATTAACTTCCTAACTATAGGACTGGTTCATTTACTAGCACGTAGATATATGGGTGCATATATGTATATTAGGCTCTTAATATATAAACCATATTGGTTCAGTATGTGCAATGGACTAGAATTTTGGTCAAGTTCAGATTGTTTTCACTAGATCAGTTTAAATTTAAATTAATCTAAAGAAATACTAGAAAAAGTGACTATACTTCTAGTACTTAAGTAAGTTTTGTACTAAAAATAGAGATTTAAGTGAAAAATGTTAAAAACATGTTTGTGGTCCTAATAGTTACTTTATATGTTAGCGAGAAAATTTGTTTCAACTGCAATTTAAACGATCAATACATTTATTATTATATATATGTATATCGCTGTAATATTATCCGAAATATATATTTATAATTCACTAATAGCGCAACAGATTTCTTATAATTGAAGTATATATTTTGTATGACTTGAAGAGATCTTTGATGCAAAGTAATACTTTTCTCAGGCAATAAAAATAAAAATACGGTTTTAAAACTTCGCTAACATAGATCAGTATTAAGAAAAGGGGTTTGTTCTCTTGCAAATCAATATCTTCTAAATCAAAATTGAAGTCCCTCAAACACATTTCGTATTTGATGAATTAAATATAATATATATAAGACCATTATGTTTCTCTTTAGTGGTTAATCTCTCTTTTATTTAATATCATTTACAAAAATTCAATTTATTTGACTTTCGATCCAATCAGAATAATATGCAACATTTGAGAATATGTCAGGATAACGTGATCCACAAGCACCAATAACAAGATTGCTAACACCAACAAGTTCATTCTGGTACACAGCGCCATTACCAGCATCACCACGACAACTGCCCTGCTTAAGTTCATGATTTAAACATAGTATGGAAGCATCACTCTCCGCGAAGGCGTTCAAACATTCATCCTCATTAGCTACGTTGAATGTAGTTGTCTGTAACTTATAAGACGCAGCACCATTAGTGCCCTCACCCCAACCGGCAACCGAAACTGTAGCACCTACTGGTAATTCATCAGTGGTTTTTGCTATGGCAATACTTGCTATAGTTGAACTCCATGTAACCTGTTCAATCTTTAGAATAGCAATATCGTTTTTCAGTTCTTCATAATCAGGATGCACAGATACGCTCAAGATTTTTGGAAGTTTGCCACCTGCTAATTGGTTAATACTGCCCACTCGCACAGACAAACGACTTATGGCGTAACTAATATATAAAAATTTTTATAAATTAATATACTTATATATTAGGAAACCACTAAGATTAGTTACCTGTTGTGATTATCATCTACAACGCAGTGTGCTGCAGTTAATATATGTTCTGCGCTAATTATACTACCACCACAGATGTGAGCTCCATCCAAACGTATAGATGCTGCATATGGTACTTCTCCAACGATTGCACTATTTCCATCCAATATTCTATTAGTTGGCTGCGAGAGACAACTAATGGCGAATAGACCAACTACAAGGACTAAGCGTGCAATTGCCATGATGTATTATCAAAAACTAAACAAGAATATACTTAACGCTTATTAAACGCCACAATATTTATTACTCATGCCATTATTTTAGACGGTTAAAATTCCGATATTGATTTATCTAATCTGGAGCGTATTGTGCGCTATTTTATTTAATGTTGTAAATTTAATTTATTCCACTGAACGCATTCAAATAATACAGGGTGTTAAAATGATTAGTTACTGAACAAATTCCCTCTTTTTAATTTTTATAAAATAAAGTTTCTATATTTGTAATTAGTGTATTATTTTTCTACTCTCTAGGTGCTTGCAATTGATAAGACGGATAGTCTATAGAACAGGTCGATGAAGGGTTTTATACATATGTAGTTTTGGTATTACAAGAATTTTGGTTGATATAATTTGATAAGTGAAAAATACTCCCTCGCTTTTGAAAATAATATTTTTAGATTTTTAAAGAATCTTATAGATTCAAACCGATCAGAATATATCTGACGTCTCCTGCAGTCCGATATAGGCAAACAGCAAAAGAAAGAATTTTGGGAGCTGAAATCAAGCGATATGAATCGAATAACTGTACTCATGTATATACTTATATAATATATATATACTAAAATAAAAATTGCCTAAAATACTAAAATTATTTGAAATTGCGTAAAAGTTTGTTTCGTTGATCATTCACAAATATAAAGATTTTCGGTAAATTAGACATATATCTATATGTAAACATATTTTCTTTATTAAGATAAAATATGGAAAACTTTTCCATATAACTTAAGTTTTCTAAAAAATCTACACAAATATTAATAAAAGTTTTATGGTGGTAGCAAGTAATATGGGAGAGGCCTAAGACAGATTGAGGAACTCAACCCTGTTAAATTTCCTGGTTGTAATAATTAACAAGAGAAATTTTGTTAAGTCAGACTTAGTTTCACAAATTCTTAAATGTTAGAATTTCTTAATGAATTAACAGATTATAAGCTGTGACTATGTCAAGACCTGTGAGATAATATTAAGAGTTTTCTTATATATTTTTACAGGCTTCTTTATTTGAAAGACCTGGTTTATAATCTGTAATAACGAACGTAATCAGACTTTCACTACCTAAGCTTACCAAAATTTTTGTTGCATATATTCGAACAGAATTGGCATATACCAAACTGTAGGTTTTACCAATTGCTGCAATTGGAAATTTTAAGGATTTATAGAAAGTATTTAAAAGGGCTTGCAAGAACTCCGATCTCTGCTATTAATGCATAATCTCTAAAAGTATAATTTTAATAAATTGAAATGAAAAACCATTTAAATTTTTTAATGAAATTTTAATCGAGTTAAGCTCTTCTTAGCAGTGAATTCAACAGTTGTGCTTAGAATGATAATAATATCTATAATATCTATTATAGTAGATACAAATAATATTGATCCAATAAGGTAGTTGGTTGATGTTTTTTCGCACATACGTTGGTAAGATTAGTCCACACCCTTTATAGGATGAGAATACATTTTTGTTACTTTGAAGTCATAAAGTCTTATCTTTATGTGTACAAATAAAATTATTTTATGAACTAATTTATTACTGGTTTCATAATATATGTCATAAAAAAAACTTGACCAGAAGTAAGACGAGGTATATACATTTTTATGCAGAAATGATAACACATATATGTATTTATAATTTTTTAATTTATAAATTATAAGATTATTTAATATTAACTGCTAAGATATAAAAATTTTAGTGATTGTTATTAATCCATTCCTCGTAGTATGAAACTTTTGAAGCAATATCAGGATATTTTGTGCCACAACTGCCAAATGCAAAACTAATAACACCATATAAAATACCATCCACGTAAACACCAGCACCATCATCACCACGGCAGATTCCTTCATTTACAGGGTGCTGCAAGCAAAGTATACTTTCATAGCCATAACCTGCTTCATATTCGCATTCAGGTGCGCTTAAGACAGTCATTTTAGTTTCTTGTAATTTGTATGGCGTAGCTCCAGTTGATAGGAGACCCCATCCGGCAACTGTTACTGAAGCGCGATCTTCAATCACATCATCTGCGCCTGCAAACCATATTTTATTATACTTATCATTGAACTCAAGTGATTCGGTGAAGAACAGCAACGCTACGTCATGCAGGAAGTTGCCGTATGAAGGGTGTATGCGGACTTCTTCGATTTCACGTATTTCACCTCCAGCATATTGATTTACGCTACCAATACGTACAGTTATGCGTTTGGCATCAATACTTTTAAAGGATACGAAAGAAAAAATAAATTTTATTTAAAATAGAAAA